GAGAGAGACAGACAGACAGAGAGAGAGAGAGAGAGGCCATTCGTATTCGAAAGCCAGTGACTTTATTTGTATTTACAATTTTCATTATTTCATGTTTATTTAGAGCCAATTGCATGGATCGATCCTCATGATGTCAATCATTGGATTGTCTTATCCAAACTCGATTATTTATATATTATTCATATAGCCGGAATATTGCTGAGTGCGGCGTTAAACAAACAAACAAACAGATACAGGTTTAATTCTTCCACATCATTTCGCTGCCACCGTCTTCTCTGTTGGCTCTCTAATCAGCTGAGTGTAGCACTGTACTTAACGCTGTACTCATTCTGTAAATATGGACAAAACAGAGTTGTAGTTTGTTTTATAAACGGTGGTAACTTATCAATAAAAGACAAAATGCATTATAAAGGAAACCCTGAAGAAGTAGTTTCATTTTATAAATACGTGGGCGTATATTTTACAGGAAGATAAAAAGAGACACGTAAAATTGCATTGCCAAAACAAATTAGGTAGGCATATCAAAAAGTTGTTGACAATATAACATATGCTTACTTTTAAATATCTGATACAGATATGTGGGGTCTGGAACATTTGGATGTCATTGAAGAGGTACATGCAAACGCATGAAAACAGGGTTTGGTGTAAAATCCAGTACACAAAAGTCAAGGGTACATGATGTTTGTGGAAGGGTTGATAAGGTTCCCAGAATAGCTTTAAAGAACAAACAAACAAACAAACAAACAAACAAACAAATAAACAAACAAAAAAACAAAACCAATGCTGCATAAAGTAATGTTATTCATTTCAGAAAGAAAATTCACTTCTCTTCCCAATTCCCAGAACAATATCAATTCGGGACAAACTCTTTTCACTTAACACCCATCAGTCTGAGGAATGCCATGCGGATCATTGTGTTACCTCCAAGTGGAGGTCACTGTGAACAGATCGTAGAAATGATGTTTCACTGATGTGTTGTAACATCGCACTGGGCCCTGTTAATGTTCTACTGGGATGTAGGCCTTGTTTGAATGAAGGTGAATACATCTTAACAATATTGTCTTTACTGAAAACATATCGACGCACACATTCCGATATCTGCACAGTGTCAACATATCACTTTTCAGTTATTCTAGGCATTTGATTGGCTGATTGTGAACTTCGACCTTTACAAACTGAAGCCCTGTTTGTTATTGGTTCATTCACAGAATGGTTACATACTGATTTTTCAGGAATACTATGCTGGGACGTCGTGCGAATTTTGTCGAAATCAATCAATCAATCAATCAATTAAGTGGGGGTCTTCTCAAAAGCAACGTGTAAATAATTCAGGGTTCATCAAATGAGATGTGTTGTTACCTAGCATACATGGGCGTATGAATTGATGTACATAACGTTTCAAATTCCTTATCTTCTTTTACTATCCAAACTGGCAAGGTGTAAATATTATGAATGTTGTGATCTTGATCATACAAAGGGGGAGAAAGAGCTTGCACATCAAAAGCTGTGAACAATAGTCACTGATATATTGCTCGATGAAAAGGCAAATTTAACAAATGAAAAGTAAAAGTGATCTCTCTTGCTGATGGCCTTTTGGTCTTGTCACACAGTCTTGTGCAATAGAATTCACATAGGACGAACCATTTCAAATGCAATTGAAAAGAAAGCAGTGTCCTATATAATTCGTATTTCAAACATTAAAACGCTACCTTTAGAAGCGCAGGAGTTATTTCGAGCAGATATGCCTTTCAGTCAATTCGTGCCCACGCAAGTACAAATGAATTCACTCTTTGAAATGTATAGCAGATTTACAGCTTTACGCGTGCTAATACCATTCATCAGATTCATAATAGCGACAAAACGGGAAATCATGAATTATTTATTAGGTTGTGTTCCTTTAGGGCTATATTTGAATGTGACCAAAAACTTCTGAGCATAAGGAATGCCGGCTGTCGTGTTTCGTGTTGCGGATGGTCTTGCGTAGCACCATACTGTCGTGCCATGTTGACTCTGTATACATTAGCTAGCAGCAAATGTTTGCATTATTATTATTATAGCGAATGGGACTTCTCCCATGAAGCGCTGCCTAGTCGAACCTACCCTGGACCTTTTCGGAGAATGTGAAGACAACACTGCAGCCTTCTGCATTACCCAGATTGTCAGAAGGGCTTTATTCCTGGTAGCAAACCCGGGTACTCTCCCGATGTCAGTCAACAGATTGGGAGGTACCAAACCTAAGGCACCGAGAACAATGGGGAGTCGGACAACTTGGTAATTGGGATGCAAGCGTGACATTTCGAAAACAAGGTCCGCATATTTACCATGTTTTTCCTCAATCTTGTAAATCACATTAGTGTCAAAGGAGATGATATAAATGATTTCATTGGATTAATCAAAAAGGATAAGTTCAGGTTTGTTAGCGTGGATACTTCTGAGGCTGTAAATGGACCTATTCCAAAGAAATTTGTATTTATCATTTTCCATTACGCCCTCTACATACTCCGGGTCGTACCATGTGTGGACCTCACAACAAGCATTGCGAAGACGGTGATAAAATGATCGAGCTACACCATCATGTCGTTAAAGATACTGTGTTTGTGCTAAAGCTGGGCATCCATTGACAACGTATTGGACAGTCTCATTAAATTCATTACATAATCTACATTTCATTTATACATTTTGATGCAAAATCACACATTGACGGTTTCGAGTGGGAAGTGACTGGTCCTGAGCAGCGAACAGAAAGCCTTCAGTTTCACTTTTCAGGCCAGACGACTTCATCCAAACAAAGGACTCTGCAGGATTGCTGATCTTCTCAACACACTGCACTTAAACTATTATTATTATTATTATTATTATTATTACCCTCGTTCAGCACAGTGTTAGTACTCCTAATGCTTCCCATGTACACAGTCCTACATGAGATGCTCACAATCGTGTCTGTTACCCTCGTGCCTTTTGTGGAGGAAAGCTTCATAAATGTGGTGAAATTTGGTATTTGATGGGGATGTAATAAAGGCAATGTTGTTGAAAGAGCTTCACATCTAAAACAAAACTCATCGCCAACTACAGTTGAACTGTACAGTTTACATATTCTGTTTTCCCTTGATATATTCTGACATCTGTCAGTTTCAATCAGTAAGTTATAAGTAATTCAAATACACTCTTCAAAGATAGAAACGCACAGGTAGTTATGCAGTTTATTGAATCTGACTACACAAAAAATCCGGTATATAAATTGAATATAAATTATTGGAAATGTTGGTGGCCTGATATTCGACAAAGGGTGCGTCAAAACGCAGCCATTGTCGATTTGCAATGTCTTAAACGCAATTGTTTTCACACTTGTTAAAAAAACAGTAAACCAAAATGCATGTCCAAGTTATGGCCTTCGTAACTCTTGGTAGTGGCTATAAAAAGGCAAGCATAAGCCAATAATTTGTCACTCAGTTTTCAAGTTTGAAAATGCCGAGACTCAGCGCTGCCGATCGGAACATCGCCATAGGACATATCAAAAGAGGGGAATCTTCTGTTGCACGCCACTTCAGCATCCACCACAGCACCATTTGCCGGCTTTTGTGACCTATACACATAGTTCAATTCCACTGCAGACTGTCCGAGAACCGCCCGACCAAGCGTTACCACCCCTGCACAGGATCGCCATAGCTACGGAGACTGCAGGACGCATCCCTCGTTTGAGAAGGATATCGGACCAGACTGTCAGGAACCATCTTCGCGAGGCTGGAATCCGACCCAGAAGACCATTTATTGTCCCTGTTTTTCAACAGATCCATCGACAGCGACGTTTGCGTCAATGCCATACTTTACAGCCTTGAAATTTGAGAAACTGGAGACGAGTGTTGTTAAGCGATGAATCACGATTTCTTCTTAATCGGCGAGATGGAAGACGACGCGTTTATCGTCGTCGTAATGACCATTTGCCCCACATTGTGTGGCATATCCTACACTACGAGATCTGACTTAGGTGTGGTTAAGGGAAATTTGACAACAAATCGCTACATGAATCAAATTGTTCAACCTCACCTTCTTCCAATCATTGACCGCCCGAGGGAGCTGTTTCAACAAGACACCGCTCCACCGCACACAGCTCGTGTCAAGGTAGACTACTTTCATAAAGCCAACATTAACATCCTGTCCATCTCAACCCAATCGAACACATCTGGGAAGAACTCGATCGACGTGTACGTCAACGTCAGAACACGCCGCAGACACTCCCACATCTGGCCAACATGTTACAAGCAGAATGGCGCAAAATTCCGCAAGACAGAATTCATCCACTTATCCAGTCAGTGCCGAGGAGATGCAGAGCCGTGATTGCTGCCCGGGCGGTCACACGAGAGTTCAGCCCAACCTTGTGGCCTTATGTGTCATGTCAGTGAACAGTTTTCTTTGTACAACGGCCACATGTGACTATCGAGCTCCAAAATTTCATCTTTGTATCTATGATATTAAATTAAATATATCGACTTTATTAGGTGCAATAACTTTACTAAAAAACTACCTGTGCGTTGCTTTCTTTGAAGAGTGTATGCGTAAATTATTTCATTTCCTTGATGTAGACTGTATTGTTGATTATTCCATCTTTATAGGAGTGTGGTCACATACGCTTTTAACCCACACGAGTGAAGAGGCACTTTTTTGTAAATTTACTTCCAAATGGCATTTTAGCAATCTTAATAACGAATCTGTGTTTATAATCAGTCCTCCCATATGCCTACATCATGCGTCATTTAGCGGGAGGCAGCTTGAACGACACATGGCATGTCGAGACACCATACACCTCTGTCTCCGCTGCCACCCGCACAGCTGGTCAGACCGCTACACCTATGGGAGGTATGTAGTACAAATGAGGCAGCTACAACCAAGCAGACCTCTACAACGGCAGCATCAAAGCCTCAGGCCAGACACAACCAGACATATTTTTCAGGTTATTCGTAAATATTTTTTGTAAAACTTCAGTTTAGCATTGACTGTTTCAGAGACCGCCATGCGACCCGGGAACGATTCCACACACCAACTCGCAGCCTCTTGACGTCACAGTTGTCACTGCCTATTTCAACCTGGGGCGATTCAGGAAAGGCAGTGGATCGTTCTTCGACACTCAGTTGTACATGTCGTGGGCAGGAGTGTTCAAACATCTACGGAATCCTTTCGTCTTTTACACAGACTCGGAGGACATTGCTGAGCAGTTTCAACAGATGCGAGTCGGGAAGGAAGGAACAACCAAGATTGTCTTGGTCGACAGAAAGAATCTGTGGGCGTTCGGATGGGTAGATAGGATCAAGGAAATCTATTCCAACCCAGGATATCCAAAGTTCCACCCAAACACCGTAGTGCCTGAATACTCCTGTGCTCAACACGCGAAATATGAGTCTGTGGAGGCAGCAGTCAAAAGTAATTATTTCAATACCACCTATTACACTTGGATCGATATCGGCTATTTCCGACACATCTTGAAACGGGGTAAAGAGTTTGTTATCGTGAAACCCCAAGGTTTTAACGAGTCTCGCGTGGCCATGAACAAAGTGTACGACGTGGATATGGACACGTCCCCTGAGACTGTTTTCAAAGGAAACCATGTCTGGCTTGGTGGTGGGATGCTCTTCGGGTCAAAGTTCACACTTCCAATCTTTATAGCAGACTATCGACTAGCCGTACAACACTATCTCGACATGTCTTTAAGCAATACAGACCAACAGGTCATTTTTTCTATGAACACTAACAAGGAAAAGCTTATTGTTAAACAAAGAGTGACTATTCAGCAATATGTAGCCGACGTACCCGGAGACTGCTGGTTCTATCTTGGATATGCTTGTTACAGAGAATTGGTAGAGTGACGTGCAATAAACTATGTACATGTCTGTCTGTCTGTCTGTCTGTCTGTCTGTCTGTCTGCATGCATGCATGTGTATGTTTATGTTTCTATGAATATCGGTTATATGTTTAGTTGATTGGTTTGTTGTTTTGTTGTTTTGCGCCGCACTCAGCAATATTCCAGCTATATAACAACGGTCTGTATATAATCGAGTCTGTACCAGACAATCAAGTGGTTGATATCATGAGCATCGATCCACCAATTGGGATACGATGATATGCTTCAAACAAGTCAACGAGCATGACCACCGGATACCGTTAGTCGCCTCTTACGACAAGCATACTCGCCTTTTACGGCAAGCATGGGTTGCTGAAGACCAATTTTACCCCGGATCTTCACGGTACTATATATGTATGTGTGTTTATATGTGTGTATATATGTATGTAAGTAAAGCATACAGTTTCATGACGAACGGGGTTGTGTAAAGTTGCCATTCAATTTCTGTTATGTTTTGTTTGTCCGTCCGTTATACACATCACATGGACGGGTCGTATGTCTCTCGTGTCTGTGCAGTGGGGCTTGCCGATCACATGATGTCCGCAACAGCAAACAGGTGAATAGCTTTGATGTTTTATTCTGACATCATTAACGGTATATTAATATTAACGTACCCGACTGCCGTAAGAGATTCTACATATCAATGGTCACATCTAAATTCAGAGAAGAGAAGAGAAAACGCCAAATGTGAACCACTGATTGCTATATATACCAGACGCCATCGTCCGAACACACACATTGAAGACCGGGATAGAGGGCTGCTACAACTAATTATACCTTAAAGCAATACACTGATAACCAGGGGAATGACGACAACCACAGGTGGTAGGGTTGTGCTGTGTGAAGATGACGACAACCACAGGTGATAGGGTTGTGCTGTGTGAAGATGACGACAACCACAGGTGGTAGGGTTGTCCTGTGTGATAATGACGACAACCACAGGTGGTAGGGTTGTGCTGTGTGATAATGACGACAACCACAGGTGATAGGGTTGTGCTGTGTGAAGATGACGACAACCACAGGTGGTAGGGTTGTCCTGTGTGATAATGACGACAACCACAGGTGGTAGGGTTGTGCTGTGTGATAATGACAACCACAGGTGGTAGGGTTGTGCTGTGTGATAATGACGACAACCACAGGTGGTAGGGTTGTGCTGTGTGATAATGACGACAACCACAGGTGGTAGGGTTGTCCTGTGTGATAATGACGACAACCACAGGTGGTAGGGTTGTGCTGTGTGAAGATGACGACAACCACAGGTGGTAGGGTTGTGCTGTGTGAAGATGACGACAACCACAGGTGGTAGGGTTGTCCTGTGTGATAATGACAACCACAGGTGGTAGGGTTGTCCTGTGTGATAATGACGACAACCACAGGTGATAGGATTGTGCTGTGTGAAGATAATGACAACCACAGGTGGTAGGGTTGTGCTGTGTGAAGATGACGACAACCACAGGTGATAGGGTTGTCCTATGTGAAGATGACGACAACCACAGGTGGTAGGGTTGTCCTGTGTGAAGATGACGACAACCACAGGTGGTAGGGTTGTCCTGTGTGATAATGACGACAACCACAGGTGGTAGGGTTGTCCTGTGTGATAATGACGACAACCACAGGCGGTAGGGTTGTCCTGTGTGAAGATGACGACAACCACAGGTGGTAGGGTTGTGCTGTGTGAAGATGACGACAACCACAGGTGATAGGGTTGTCCTATGTGAAGATGACGACAACCACAGGTGGTAGGGTTGTCCTGTGTGAAGATGACGACAACCACAGGTGGTAGGGTTGTCCTGTGTGATAATGACGACAACCACAGGTGGTAGGGTTGCCCTGTGTGAAGATGACGATAACCACAGGTGATAGGATTGTCCTATGTGAAGATGACGACAACCACAGGTGGTAGGGTTGTCCTGTGTAATAATGATGACAACCACAGGTGGTAGGGTTGCCCTGTGTGATAATGACGACATAAAGCTTTAACATAAGTACTCGTTGCACAAGAAGTAATTAGGATCACCGAAAGAGAAGGGCAGTTTCTGTTTTGTGCACACGAAGACGTAGTTGCTTTGTCAGGCACTGTATATTAATATTTACTTTGAAATTAACGTCACAATTGCCTCGTTGGTGTAAAACGTCAGGAATGCCTACACCTGTATCACAAACGAAAACTAAAAGCATAACATGCAACATATATTTGAATAATATACTATGAATTTTACCAATGTAACCTGTTTCAGCAGTTAATAGAGATTGAGTATTCCCCGGTGCTGAGTTACCTCAATCATTCTGTGTCTTTCAGGGTCTTTTATCATACGCAGTTTTCCAAATTTATCAACAGAGTCTTTAAAATCAACGTTTGAAGTCCGAATTTTCTCATAAACTAAGATTTATATGGTGAGTTACTTAGACAACGTATGTAGAATTTTCTAAGAGTCAATCATTCCTACACCTTTGGCATAGAAGTCCCATTAAAATATATAAGCATTCGACGAAACTGATTTGGTCCAACCATTGAGCTGAAAATATATGCTGTTATACTAAACATCAAATCAGTTATATTACTTAAAAACAACGTTTAATTTCCCCAACAGATGTATATTTGAAAACATCAACAAATCTCACATAAGGTCATCCGGTCACAGCTGCCAGATCTCTCAATCTACATTCAATCTTTCTCTACTGAAAGCTGCTGGCCGAACGACTGATTCTGATTTGGTGTGGTTGTAGTAGACACCCTGCAGGATGGCGCCAGCATACTAGGGTGAGGCGAGGAGACAGGATTAAGTACATAACATAAGCTGGCTGCACGCTTTACGCAAGTGGTTCTAATGCAAGTCTGTCGTGTGTTTTCATATCGTTGGATACCTGTTATAATAAAGAAAGAAAAACAAAAAAGTATGTAATTTGTTGAATACAGTTTTGGGAGAGTTATGCAAAAGATGTTTGAATACAGTTTAAGGGGAGTTATGCAATAGATGTTTGAATAATGTTTGGTTGAGGGAAGTATATGGCGCTGAATCAGAGTGAGTGGTCAGCCGGGTTTATAACTATATCAACAATCATATTATATGCAGGCAAAGTGAACCACATCAGTGTTTTGAATCCTAAAACTTACTGGATTGGGAAGGTATGCTTTAGTCATGAATGAAGAGTAATTACAATTTGAGATATTTAATATGTGGTCAGCTGAGATTTGATTCAATTTGTGTAAGTTAATACTTATAATATATCCTGATCCTTAATGTTTTGATCATAAGTGGATAGTGTAAAGTAGTGTAAAGTTCAAGTGGCCTCTGTGACGGATTGTCTGAAGAATACCCAATGAACAAAACCAAAGGCCTCAGTTACATTTATATTGTCGATTGTTACTTCATCTCTACATACTGGATTTAGTTTAATGTCAGTATTGATGAGTTATAATCAGCACAAAATCAAAATCGTAACTAAAATACACATTATCAGTCAGAAGTACATGTTGTGCATGTACCAACATTTTCTACGCACATTGCCAACTCCACATAATACTTCTTAAAATTACCAGATATAGGAATCTATCTTATGCATGTGCCAACAGATTCTCAGTGCATCAACAATGAACACAAGTAATTTACAAAATCATAGGATTGCAATCTGTGCATGAGTCAACAGTTTCATATACATTCATATTTGGCAATACCAGATGATTAAATCATCAACTGATAGGATCTAGGAATGCATACTATGCATGGGTCCACAGATATTCATTAGAGGGTCAATCACCGCATGATTTAGCTTTCAAGGTCCTTGGGTTGGGGAACCAGTACATGTACTTACAGTTTATAATACCGTTGATCACCAGTATACGTACTAACAGTTTATAAGACCGTTGATCACCAGTACATGTACTTACAGTTTATAATACCGTTGATCACCAGTACATGTACTTACAGTTTATAATAGCGTTGATCACCAGTATACGTACTAACAGTTTATAAGACCGTTGATCACCAGTACATGTACCAACAGTTTATAAGACCGTTGATCACCAGTACATGTACCAACAGTTTATAATACCGTTGATCACAAGTACATGTACTTACAGTTTATAATACCGTTGATCACCAGTACATGTACTTACAGTTTATAAGACCGTTGATCACCAATACATGTACTTACAGTTTATAATACCGTTGATCACCAGTACATGTACTTACAGTTTATAAGACCGTTGATCACCAGTGCATGTACTAACAGTTTATAAGACCGTTGATCACCAGTACATGTACCAACAATTTATAATACCGTTGATCACCAGTATACGTACTAACAGTTTATAAGACCGTTGATCACCAGTACATGTACTAACAGTTTATAAGACCGTTGATCACCAGTGCATGTACTAACAGTTTATAAGACCGTTGATCACCAGTACATGTACCAACAATTTATAATACCGTTGATCACCAGTATACGTACTAACAGTTTATAAGACCGTTGATCACCAGTACATGTACTAACAGTTTATAAGACCGTTGATCACCAGTACATGTACCAACAGTTTATAAGACCGTTGATCACCAGTATACGTACTAACAGTTTATAAGACCGTTGATCACCAGTACATGTACTAACAGTTTATAAGACCGTTGATCACCAGTACATGTACTTACAGTTTATAAGACCGTTGATCACCAATACATGTACTTACAGTTTATAATACCGTTGATCACCAGTACATGTACTAACAGTTTATAAGACCGTTGATCACCAATACATGTACTAACAGTTTATAATACCGTTGATCACCAGTATACGTACTAACAGTTTATAAGACCGTTGATCACCAGTACATGTACTAACAGTTTATAATACCGTTGATCACCAGTACATGTACTAACAGTTTATAAGACCGTTGATCACCAGTACATGTACTAACAGTTTATAAGACCGTTGATCACCAGTATACGTACTAACAGTTTATAAGACCGTTGATCACAAGTACATGTACTAACAGTTTATAAGACCGTTGATCACCAGTACATGTACTAACAGTTTATAAGACCGTTGATCACCAGTACATGTACCAACAGTTTATAAGACCGTTGATCACCAGTACATGTACCAACAGTTTATAAGACCGTTGATCACCAGTACATGTACCAACAGTTTATAATACCGTTGATCACCAGTATACGTACTAACAGTTTATAAGACCGTTGATCACCAGTACATGTACCAACAGTTTATAAGACCGTTGATCACCAGTACATGTACCAACAGTTTATAATACCGTTGATCACCAGTACATGTACTTACAGTTTATAATACCGTTGATCACAAGTACATGTACTTACAGTTTATAATACCGTTGATCACCAGTACATGTACTAACAGTTTATAATACCGTTGATCATCAGTACATGTACTAACAGTTTATAATACCGTTGATCACCAGTATACGTACTAACAGTTTAAAAGACCGTTGATCACCAGTACATGTACTTACAGTTTATAATACCGTTGATCACCAGTACATGTACTTACAGTTTATAAGACCGTTGATCACCAGTACATGTACTAACAGTTTATAATACCGTTGATCACCAATACATGTACTAACAGTTTATAATACCGTTGATCACCAGTACATGTACTAACAGTTTATAAGACCGTTGATCACCTGTACATGTACTTACAGTTTATAAGACCGTTGATCATCAGTACATGTACTAACAATTTATAATACCGTTGATCACCTGTACATGTACCAACAGTTTATAAGACCGTTGATCACCAGTATACGTACTAACAATTTATAATACCGTTGATCACCTGTACATGTACTTACAGTTTATAATACCGTTGATCACCAGTATACGTACTAACAGTTTATAAGACCGTTGATCACCAGTACATGTACCAACAGTTTATAAGACCGTTGATCACCAGTACATGTACCAACAGTTTATAATACCGTTGATCACCAGTACATGTACTTACAGTTTATAATACCGTTGATCACCAGTACATGTACTTACAGTTTATAAGACCGTTGATCACCAATACATGTACTTACAGTTTATAATACCGTTGATCACCAGTACATGTACCAACAGTCTATAAGACCGTTGATCACCAGTGCATGTACTAACAGTTTATAAGACCGTTGATCACCAGTACATGTACTAACAATTTATAATACCGTTGATCACCAGTACATGTACTAACAGTTTATAAGACCGTTGATCACCAGTACATGTACTAACAGTTTATAAGACCGTTGATCACCAGTACATGTACCAACAGTTTATAAGACCGTTGATCACCAGTATACGTACTAACAGTTTATAATACCGTTGATCACCAGTACATGTACTTACAGTTTATAAGACCGTTGATCACCAGTACATGTACTTACAGTTTATAAGACCCTTGATCACCAATACATGTACTTACAGTTTATAATACCGTTGATCACCAGTACATGTACTAACAGTTTATAAGACCATTGATCACCAGTACATGTACTAACAGTTTATAATACCGTTGATCACCAGTATACGTACTAACAGTTTATAAGACCGTTGATCACCAGTACATGTACTAACAGTTTATAATACCGTTGATCACCAGTACATGTACTAACAGTTTATAAGACCGTTGATCACCAGTACATGTACTTACAGTTTATAAGACCGTTGATCACCAGTATACGTACTAACAGTTTATAAGACCGTTGATCACCAGTACATGTACTAACAGTTTATAAGACCGTTGATCACCAGTACATGTACGAACAGTTTATAAGACCGTTGATCACCAGTACATGTACCAACAGTTTATAAGACCGTTGATCACCAGTACATGTACCAACAGTTTATAAGACCGTTGATCACCAGTACATGTACCAACAGTTTATAATACCGTTGATCACCAGTATACGTACTAACAATTTATAAGACCGTTGATCACCAGTACATGTACCAACAGTTTATAAGACCGTTGATCACCAGTATACGTACTAACAGTTTATAAGACCGTTGATCACCAGTACATGTACTTACAGTTTATAATACCGTTGATCACCAGTACATGTACTAACAGTTTATAAGACCGTTGATCACCAGTGCATGTACTAACAGTTTATAATACCGTTGATCACCAGTACATGTACTTACAGTTTATAATACCGTTGATCACCAGTATACGTACTAACAGTTTATAAGACCGTTGATCACCAGTACATGTACTTACAGTTTATAATACCGTTGATCACCAGTACATGTACCAACAGTTTATAAGACCGTTGATCACCAGTGCATGTACTAACAGTTTATAAGACCGTTGATCATCAGTACATGTACTAACAATTTATAATACCGTTGATCACCTGTACATGTTCATTTACAGAATCCTGTAATGTGAAGACTATTTTAAGCACAAAGTCACACATCACGTGATGTTGTTGTACACACTCCTAGGAATGAATATATGCAGTTTGTATGTATCTTGTCAATCACCGCGTAAGTACTCAGGTGTTGGGGTTTGGCTGAGCTGTATAAGCACTTTAAGTCTGTTCTTCATACACTTCCTATCTGTTTTTCATACACTTCCTGTTGTCACCAGATGCAGGAATCTGTCTTGTACACGTGCCAACAGATTCCAGGGGCACAGACAATGAACAAATAAAAGTAATTTACAAAATCATAGGATTGCAATCTGTGCATGTACGTTCCAACAGATTCGAAGTGCACAGACAATGAACACATGAAAGTAATTAACAAAATCAAAGGATTGCAATCTGTGCATATGCCAACAGTTTCATATACATTCATATTTGTCAAAACCGCATGATTACTGTATTGACAAATAGGATCTAAGCATGAATGCTATCCCTGTGTCCACAGATATTCAGTGGATAGTCAATCAACACATGATTTATCTACAAAGTCCTTGGATTGAGACAGTAATTCCTGCACTAACAGTTTATAATACCATTGATAACCCGTACATGTTTATTTACATATTCCTGGAATGTGCGCACGTTTTAAGCACAAAGTCAGTCACCACATGCTATTGTCTTAACCACTCCTAGGAATTAATAGGTGCAGTTTATATGCACATTGTCGGTCACCACTTGGGTTTTAGGAGTGTGTGCGGGTATCGCGAACGACTTGTATCATCACTATTTGATAGTGATTCATAAACACATGTTCATGATATAGTTGGAATCGTACAATCGACTCTGGTTTTAGCAGAGCTTTCTACTGAATATGGAAAGGGTTTTGTTGCTTTTATTTACAGTCAGTCGATCTAAAATCTCGATCGCTCCAGCTACACACGCCTTGACGACCCTGTCCTAGCCGAGCCTGTCCTGTCCATGTAAATGTGTATTGGGAGATGGACTGAAACTTAGTAAACTTATGTGAGTATCAAACCTTGTATTAGTCCAGTATGTGTGTGCGCCGGTACATGAATGTTTATGTAGTTAATGAGCATCAGACGCCTCACTCCTTGACTCCTGGCTATGCGGGTTGTAGAGTCATGGCTTACATTGACCATGACGACACATAACGGCAATACGTTTAAGTAGCTGTTTAGTGTTTAGGGTCCCTTTACGCCCCAAAACGCAGTTACGACAATAGGTACAAGTATATATCAACAGAATGAATGTTCTAAATGTGGCAGACATGCCTATGGTTATGATTATGACAGACATGTACTTCTACACTGTGAATATTTTATAAATGATCGAAATGAATTCTTCTCCACCCTCATTGACAAACTGGAAATCGAAAGTTATGTTCAAATTGAACTTCTGGAAGAAAATGACATGCTCGCACTATTCTGGGGCTCATTAAACATACAATCTGGAATTATGAACCAGTTTACATGGGAAAACATATCATTGATATTCTGTAAATATGTCTTAAATTTCAGATTAGATTAACCCCAAATTAATCTGACGTATCGTAATAGTGCTCACTTGTGTACATGGTAAATGACGAAAATATATGTGTGTGTGTGTGTGTGTGTGTGTGTGTGTGTGTGTGTGTGTGTGTGTGTGTGTGTGTGTGTGTGTGTGTGTGTGTATTTTATTTGTTAATATTGCACCCATCTATATAAATACTAGCACAATGCAAGATTTTGTGAATCTTCGTATGTAACATCTTGATGAAATAAAGAAATTCATTCAGAAATTCAGAAATTCATTATATCAATCAGAATGAATCGGTATCGTAACATTGGGGTGAAATACGAAGTGAGGAGGTCACATAGAATCGCCTGCACTTCCGGTACCCTCGGACAAAACGCCTGGCATTAAAACATAACTTTCTGCCCTGTTCACTGTCATTAATTCCCGAAGTACGATTATTCTTCACCATGACTATATAATGTGCATAGACATGAACCAATCACAGATAAGGGGAGACTCATGTTTGTGCCTTCAAAAAGTTGAACGCTAGACATTTTTTGATAATGGATATCTGATTGTTTGTTTGGTGAAACATGTTAATCAATTGTCACTTGTGTGTTACTAAAACTGTTCGCTAGATATACAAACAGAGAATATCAAAATAACCTTCAAGACACAAAGAGTAATTTTAATTTTAATGATAGAATAAATGCAATTTAAAGATATTCTGTCCTTGACAGAGATGAGATGTGCACCATGTAAGACATACGATTCTGTATACGAGGAGCTCTGTCTGGGAATGTTCACTGTGGCTGCAGAGGTATCCATATTCAATGTAAAGGTGGGAATGCTTCTGTACGTGAACTACGTCATGCGTGACGTCATCAGTGTATGTGGATGACCCATCGTCAGGAAATGATTGAACCGCCTTTACGAGTTTTCGTTGTTATTTGCTCCTGGCCCAAATATGTCTGGAAATGTTTACAGAGGCTGCAGAGGTATCCCTGTGTAGTGTACAAGTAGGGATGCTGTCAAATATGAGTGAGTGAGTGAGTGAATATGGTTTTAAGCAGCTTTTAACAATATTCCAGCAATACCACGGCGGGGGACACCAGAAATGAGCTTCACACATTGTACCCATGTCGGGAATGGAACCCTGTCAAATATGACCCACGTGTACCAAACTCCGCACTGGACATGACATTTCAGAATAATACATGGAAAATAAATTTTCGACAAACCTGTGAGGGTAGTCAATTAATATTTTCAACTGCAATTTAACTTTACTCGAATCATCCATGCAAAGTAAATTATTTAGGGATCCGTTAACGTTAGCTTAAAGCAATAAATTAATTCTTTCATATGAAATGAATGATCATTTATCTACCTTCCACTACTCACCAAACGCTGTTTTCAAACACACGAGTGACTCGCAAAACACTACCATAACTCTATTGCGCAGCAGAAAGATTTGTGGGTAACTGTGTCATGAGGACGTAGGCCTGGGCGCTGGAGGGAAACAAGGTAGGAGGGGTGTCGATCGTGATTACAAACCAAGTGCTGATAACCGAGAGCGGTTGTTCTCTGGCGTTCACATTTCATTCTAATGTACTTACAATGGCAGCTCTCGGTGAATGGAACATCAAGTCAATCTACCAAGCACAACGAGTAGATTCTACTTTCGATATTACAAACACAAATACAAACGGGTTAGACGAGTGTGGGGGTTATTCAGTAGTAATGCGCCAGATATGGATGTAAAACCAATACAGCAAACCATTTGAATTTATATTTCATTATGCAATACATGCATGGGTTTAAATAACATGCGTAATTGTAGTATTGATAAATGTTTGAAATAAATTCTGAACAAGGAGTATGTCTACTTTCGATATGACTCGCACCATGGGTATTGCCAACGTGACGGAAATAATTCAAGGTCAAGGTCAATGTGGATGAATGGACACGTTTTTATTTTCTATTTTATTTTCATTGTTATTTTTGTATGGAAAGAAGATCTAAATAGGTTCTGTTGTGGTTATGTTTGGTAATAAAACAATGTAGTGATACATAACTATCAATGTTTCGAAACATTTAAAACCTCAGGAAATTCATCCAATAATGAATAAACGGTAAATCTACACTCATATCAGTCAAATGTACTCACGGGCCATTTAAACGCAATGTTTCTGCATTGGATTCTAGTGTAAACATTAAATTTACAAAATATATACAAGAGCTATTCTTCGTCAGCATCCTACTGTTTGACCCCCCACCCCACCCCCCACCCCCTTTCCCCCCCTTTCAGTATATTGTAATCAATGTGTGTTGATACATAGTGCTGCTCACAGTGTGTATGCTTTCGACATCGCTAAACATTAATTATTTTGTAAGTTTATTTATTAAGTCTTTGAATGGTATTTAAAAGTGATTCATGTTTATTATTTTTGTTGTTTAACGCCGCGCTCAGCAATATTCCAGCTGTATGACGGCGGTCTGTAAATAATCGAGTCTGGACCAGAAAATCCAGTGATTGATATCATGAGCATCGATCCACGCAATAGGGATCGATGACATGCATCAACCAAGTCAACCTGACTACCCGTGATGGTTAAATAACCAATTATATTATATTGATTATAAGTTTTGTTCATAAATCCCAACTCTGGCTTATATCAATGTGTGATACCGTGTGGTTGAATGAAAGTCAAATGAGCTTATTTCATTACCTGCCTGCCCGACGTTGCAGCTTCTGTGAGCATGTTCTCCACAGAAACCACTTAACCAATAACCTGACTCTTCACATGCATTTCCCCACCAATGACAATACTGCAATTTGTTCACAAGGTTTGAATTCGATTTTGTTAAAAATGTAACGGAATTTGGTACATGGATGATTGGTTAGTAGTGGGGCTCATGTTTTAAGATATCATAAATTAAGTTTATCTGATATTTGCACTATGACCATGCTCTTGCAGTAATTCTGCTAAAACGCACTCTAGTCTACTCTGAAACCACTGGACCAACGAAGCTGATACTTTACATACTTGCTTCAAAAGTGATGTTACCCGAATTTGTTATGTTATGATTCCGACTTTCAATATGGCCACTGAAACAACCTTTTTTCGAAACGGTTTTGACGTGGTCATGTACCGATTAACTGCGACATATATGAATGGATGTGTACTAATTATTTATGCTGCAAGAAAAAAATATCAAGTTTTGCCATCTGTGCCATGTCATCATGCTTCGACAGAAATATTTTTAAGAAATTAGAGGTTGCCAGTGGTGTCCACTGCACATAAAAATGTATGTCTTCCTCTTTATAGATGGCAGCCGCCAGAAAGCTGGACAGTGTGCATGAGAACTTCTTGACCTGTTCCATATGTACGGAGGGATACAAAGACCCCTGTACTCTGACCTGTGGACACACCTTCTGTAAGGGCTGCCTGGGGGAATTCCTGAAAACCAGACAAGACGCCATCAGAGCCAAGTCCATCCCGTGTCCCTACTGTCGTCAGATGACCCGAGTTCCCAGGCCTGACAGACCAGTGGAGGAGTGGGTGAAACAGATCAAGCCCAGTTTTCTCATACAGGGACTTCTGGACACTCTAGCCTGTGGGGGAGGTACTGATCATGGTAAGTAAATATGAGTGAGGTCAAGATGAAACTGTTGCTGCGACAAGAGGGCTATCAAGTAAAGAATGTCTTGAATCAGTGTTTCTCATACATATACTTCAGGACACCCTGTCCTGAGGTATTCAGTAACCACAGGTGTAACTAAATGTTCATTCCCCAGGATAAGCCTAAATAAACCCCGTGTCCTTTCAGCTTGTACATACCTCATCTACTCTTAGCCATGTTAGTTTGGGTTGGAATATACTCATGGTTTGGCTGTTGCAAATGTACAGCTAATGTACTTAGTGCACTCAGAACGTGGTAGGCAATCCTACCAAGGAGTGGTCAAAGTAGAGTTATCGCCTAAAACTACTTAAACACTGTTGTCATTTGTAGAATAATGGATTATGGTAGGATTATGTTTATTCTGCTAAACCACACGTGTTGCGTGAACAAAATTTGAAGACCCGAGCCGATAACAGCAAGTGTAATTATATACCCGCCCCCCAAAATATGGTAGAAGACCACATAGAAAACATGCCAGTTGCTTCTAAGACGTGAATCCTGATTGATTAGGTACGTTTTGCTTTTCGTTTGAAGATGGGGCATAATTTTATCCGACGGAGGTGAAGCAAGTAGTAGAACATATGCATTGAAAAGTATCGATCAAGCAGCGGCACATTGTAACTAGAGACGTACATGTTCAAGAGTATTTATATCTGACACATTGATAGGTGGGATGAGGATTATGAATATGTTACAGTACTAGTCAGGTGAAGAAAGTATAGATGCACATGTACACTGATAATAGACAATGGACGTTACTGCTTTTTTTATGTTGATGCTGTTTCCATATATTTGTCTCTCTACTAAGAGTAAGGGCCCAGTTAATTCATTTGTGTATCCCAAAACCACCCCAAGACAAATATATTTGTTAAAGTTAGTCGTTATTGTAAGTACTCTATCAGGTTTAAGTATGTTTGATTTCATGTTTTATATAAACAGTAATCAGCACCACATGTTAACGTATTGTGTGTTATTATATTAGGAAGTCTACTGATGGTAGCCAATATGGTTCAGTGGACATGGATAACATGCTTGGGCGATACAATGCTGTGATGTGAAAATAGACATGAGTTTATGGAAAAGGCAGTTAACATAACTATTTGCATCTCTAGGTAATGCCAACAGTTGCTTCTCCTGCGAGAAACTTGGGGATAAAAGTGAGGCCAGGTCCCACTGCCAGGACTGTTCTGTCCCGCTCTGTGACAGATGTGTCAAGATGCACTTGGCCAATCCTGCGACATCAGAACATGACATAGGTGACATTGGAGATGGCGCAAAGGGCAGCAGACGGCGAAGACAAAGGTGCACGGAGCACAATGAAGTTGTGGACTTCTGCTGTAGAGATTGCAATAAAGCAATATGCCAAAAATGTTGTATCATATATCACAGAACATGCATCTCCGTGGTCACTATTCAGTCCCTCATGTCTGAGATGAAACGTGCTCTGACACAAAATGAGGGCTTGTTCAGACGTCAGTTTGAAGACACAAACAAATCACTTCTACAAAACATGTCTCAGATTGATGCGATTGACCACAACAAAGCCTCAGTTGAGTCAGAGATCAGACATGCCTCACAACGGGCCATAGACGTGATCAAACAGAAGGAAAAACAACTGCTGGCCGAACTGAATGACATGGCAGATAAGCAGTCTGGAAAACTGAGAGGACGGATGAAGTCCAAAGAAATAGACATGCAGATGTATCAACAATACATAGAATACATTTCCCAGGTGTTGAAGTCAATGAGTGAGACTGACATGTTTGATATTTACCAGAATTGTCAGTCAGGGGCAATGGCTGCTGCAGCAGACAGGGCTGTCAAATTTACAGATATTCCCGAGTCAGAAGTTGTATTCATTAGCGAAATAGATGTTTGGAACATTAACAAGCATGTCGGATTAGGTAGACTGGAGTTGGGGAGATTCGACATCATGGGTACCCCTCTGTTAAGTCACACAGTCAATCCTAGGTTAGAGGATGACAAAGCGAAGCCCGACCCTCATGATGCCATGGTCCTCGATGTGGATGGTGAAGAGATACTGGTCATAGCAGACTACAATAATAAATGCCTGAAATCCTTTTTCACAAAAGATAGCCAATCACAACAAAGAAAATTAAAACTTGCAAGTTTCCCACACTCTTTGTCAAGACTAGGAGAAAACCTGCTGGCTTTAGCATTCTGGTCAAGCAATGAAATTCTAGTTGTACAGGTGACCCCTGACCCTGTACTGAAGTCACATGTTACTACAAAGAAGAAGTACAGATGCCTTGCAGCCTTGAGTAAATCAATATTAGCAGCAGGTTGTGTATATCCCGCCTGTGTCGACATCCTGAATATATCTGGGGTACTGCTGAGGTCAATCAGTACACTCAACGCAGTAGAGAACCTGCTATGTGACCCGAGGTTCCTCTGTGCTACACCTCGTGGCCACATCCTGGTGTCAAATGATTGCTCAAACTTTCTCTACTGTATGACACCAGAGGGGGAGGCTGTGTTCACCTACAGACCCACAGGAGAAGCTGCAATGAGAGGGCCACGAGGTATCACAACTACCAGAACAGGACACATTCTGGTGGCGGACAAATGGACAAACAAGGTAACACTACTGACAGCAGCAGGGGAGTTTGTCCGAGACCTTCTGACATCGAAGGATGGAATCGAGCAGCCGTATGGTTTGTCTGTCCATGGAGATAAACTGTTTGTGACACAGCGCAATACAACTGTTAAGGTATTTCATTGCTCGAGGTCTGTGTAATCACTATTATGTCAAGAATATTCCATCTACCATTTGTCAAGCAGTGAGTCAGTTTTATTTTAGTGCATCATAGTTGTTGATTTTTTTAGTGTGGCTTTGTACTGAAAATCATGCAACTATATTTTTGACATTCTGATAAAAACAACCCAATTGGGATTGACAGGATGATCGGATGCAGTTGCAATTCTTTGAAATACAAGAAACATCATTTTAAGCTTACTTTGCTGATTAGAAGTTGCTCTGCTTTTGTCTTACTTTGTTGTCACTTAATACAGCTGAAAAGCACTTGTATGAACTTTTGCAATTATTCCCCTGAAGGTTTGTTTTCTTTTGTCTGCTCTCAATGTTTTGTCCACTGTTCTAGGAAACAAAACGTTAAACTTTAAGTCTTTACTGTCTACATGTACCTGTACTGTAGGTTTGTTTTCTTTTGTCTGCTCTCAATGTTATGTCCACTGTTTTAGGAAACAAAACATTAAACAGTATGACATTATTGTCTACATGTTACTGTACTGTAGGTTTGTTTTCTTTTGTTTGCTCTCAATGTTATGTCCACTGTTTTAGGAAACATAACGTTAAACATTATGTCTTTATTGTCTACATGTACCTGTACTGTAGGTTTGTTTTCTTTTGTCTGCTCTCAATGTTTTGTCCACTGTTTTAGGAAACATAACATTAAACAGTATGTCTTTATTGTCTACATGTTACTGTACTGAAGGCTGTTTTCTGTAAATGGCTTCACTTTTCAAAAAAGGTCAAACATGTGATTGGTCCTTTGTTATATATCGATTACTCTTACATATATACTCAATTCCAAATGAAAGCACATCCTAAAGTATGGACGTCGCCATCTGAGATTCGCCATGGACAATGACACAGGACCCACTTGCACAAAGCGATCTTAGCGCTACGACTATTGTAAGCCTATGTTAAAGTATGAGAGTTACGATCATCTTAGCGCTAAGATTGCTTTGTGCAAGTGGGTCCAGGTCTGTGGTGGGTTCTAAATGTCTGTCTAGCAGCAGTTGACACTGGTAGGTGTTGTTGGCGCAAGTGAGAACGTATCGAGTAGTACAGATGATGGGGGTTCTGCATCTGGCTCCAGTGGAAATAGTCCAGAACCATCATTGTCTATACTACTGATCGTGACCATGTCTTTACGTTAAAAGGTTCCATGTTTACGCCCGCTCTTTTGGCGACACTGCACCCTGTTCTTCAGTGCATTATCTGCCGTAGAACAGTAGATTGTTGTGTGAACGTGTAAATCTCTTGCCTTTCTTGCCGTGTTTTCCAGCTTCAATCATGATCAACACTAAATGACGATTGTTTGTGCCTAATCTGGACTTTGGCTTTTCGGTGTCACTCAAAGAATAATTGTTTAACAGTTGTTGCAACGTTTCACTTTCGTGGGTTCCTTCAATCAACAAACCATGTTTCATGTTAAAAACGTGCATGTTGCTCTTATATTATTTTGTCTCATAGATATGTACAGTCTTTGTTCAGTGTTCGATTCTTAATACAATGCATGAAACTTTTTGTGTGAAAGATTGGCATGCTTTTACTCGTTGTTTCCAACAGTATCTCGGTATTTCAAGTGATTTGTATCTCCTTGATTCAATATTTTTCTCGTTATATCCATTATTTTCTCGACATTTGGATTATTTTCTCTTTGCATGAATATTTTTCTCGTTACTTCAATTATTTTCTCGTAATCTCGATTATTTTCTCGTTATTATTATTATCCGTAATAAATTGTTCAAGTCCGTATTTTCTTGTTATTTAATTTCAAGTTTATTTCAAACATTTCAATTTATTTCACATTATATCAATTATTGTACTCGAAATTACGAGTTTTTGCTCGTAATTTCGATTATTTGCTCGTTATTTCAATAGCTTTCTCAAAATTTCAAGCTTTTGAAATAAACTTGAAATACCAAGAAAATAAGGAATGGAACAAATTATTACGGATCAACATGGATAACGAGTAAGTCCGTATATTGATCATATACTTGGATCATATGTTGGAAATTTTGTAGATATATATTCATGATATGTTTAAATATGTCAAATAAATTCTCTTTTTATGATCTTTCCAAAAATACTGTTTTAGTTTTTATACTGGACAAAAATGCTAACTACTTTGCAGCTGCTCATGAACAATATTATAACACTGGACATAATTCCCAGGGACCTAATATCCTCCGGCTCCACCAGGTGATTGATCTTAATAGTTACTTGGCTATGCCACTATTATGTAAGAAAGTGTTGAAACTCTTTTATTGAATCAAGGGAATGTTTTCTACTGCCTATCAGTTTGATTAAAATATTGCAAATTTGAAATACCATTTTTCTTCAATAGATTGTCTTTGTCATTATCTAACCGATCTATTACCAGGTATTCCGCAAAACAAATCTTCAAATGCTCATAAAACAGCAACTAATTATCGCACAAGGTTAAATCGAGTATTTTTCGGAAGCTTATCAAGGGAACTGTCATAATGTGCATGATATCATGAATGTAAAACTGCAAAATCTTTCCAATCACTTTCAAACATAATGGCGGCCTTTTTGAAAATGCCATCAGGGGGAACTTGTGCCAGGAGCTTCAGTTTGACTTTCTAAAGGTCTCCAGAAACATCCAGCTTTCTACAACTATTTTTCCAGGTTGTTGTTAATTTGTGTTTAATGCTCTTGGCCTGTGGGAACACTTTAGAAATACGTGTAATTTAGTCATCTCTTAAATTCGGAAATGCAAAGTTGAATTGAATTCCGAAATTGACCACATTATAAATACTACCCAAGGTAACATCTCTCTGTGACTACCGGTCAAAATAATCTTTAAAACTCCAGAAAACGTGGTGGCCAGTCTTTCCCATAGAACAGGAGGGAATGCTACATGAGGACGATATTGATAAAGTTAATGTTCTTAATGATTATTTTGTAGATCAAGCCTCAGTTACAGATACAGATGACGTCATTAATGATAATGCTTTTTCGGTTAATGATTATCCCTAGGGCATATATATCTATCTAATAAAGACTTAGAGTATGTATTGTTGTAGTAGTAGTATATTAAAAACTTTGGCTATTGTTTTATCGAGACCACTTTGTGGCACTTGCATGGTTTGATGGGTCAAGAAGATGTGGTAGTCGAATAGTTTTTCCCCTGGCCCTTATACCTTTACCTATGATCAGAGAGGTTTATTTAAAAGGAAACAACAATAGATGTCAGCACACTTTTATAGGCAGTGGTTTCTGCAAACGTACAGCATAGTGTCTTAGGACGCAGAACCAAACACCTTGACCTCACAGAACTGTAGTAGGTCCCCTGTACCATTCTTCCTCCCCTTCAGTCTAACATATCGTCCTTTCACAGGTCGGACACATTTTACGTTGACCGTCCTCCCTGGCACCGTGACAGCACCGTTGTAGGTCCCACACAGTGCAGCCTGGGCGCTGTGTTCAGTGGCCGGGTTCTTTGTGAACACCTCCAATGTGAAGTCGTGTAGTCTTTTTAGCTGTAACAGGTGACAATGACTTACATAACGACACTGGTTGCAACAAGAGACATCAGTTTCCTAGCTCTGCATTCCTATGTATTTCCTCATAAGTTTGCTTGATACCCGGGGATTTGCCAAGATCATGCTTTGTACTGATTGTTTAAGAAACTGGTACGATCTCATCAAAGTAGTTACTGTTCAAAGCAGTGGCCAATAAACAGAGCTCGCTATAGCTTGGCTGTATTGTGTACCAAACATGAAATATGATTAAGTATGTGAGTTCCACTTTAACATTGCAAGGGTCATTTGCTTCATTCCAGAAGTGAGAAAACATCATTAACTCTTTGTAGTAAGATCACAAAACATCTTTCAAATCACTGGAATATTTGTAGTAAAGTGCGAATCAGTGGAAATCATGCTTTTATGTATATTTTTTTATCAAGGGACAACATATGAAACTTAGTGGAAAAGTGCTTGTGTGAGTGGCAGGTGTCACCGGTAGAGCATGACATGCTTACCCTTTTTCGCAATTAACTTGTGTCATGCTTGAGCTTCAGTGATCCATTCATATTATTTTCACAAATTAAATAACTTAGCCTTTTATGCCAAATGGAATCTATTTCGGGGGATGATAGAGACTGATTATTCTCTGGCTTTTACACAAAATGCACTTGTAACACATGCTTTATATTTCTCTTTAAGGAAAGATATATAATTTCCAAAATTAACATGAATGACACTTTGCCTCATAAATTCAAATTCGTCTCACCACCAGCAATAATGGATCCGACCTTGACCTCGCAGAACTGAAGGAGGTCGCCTGAACCGTTCTTCCTCCCCTTCTGTCGGACATATCGTCCTTTTACAGATCGGATGCATTTTACATTGACCGTCTTTCCTGGCACTGTGACAGCACAATTGTAGGTTCCACACAGTGTAGCCCTCGCACCACTTTCAGTGGCCGGGTTCTTGGTGAACACCTCAAGTGTGAAGTCATGTAGTCTCTCAAATGAAACAGGTGACAATGACATTTATTATGACACTCGTTACAATGGGAAATTTCAGCGTCCTGGATCATCCTTGTGACCAGGGACACGTGGATTTGCCGGGATTATGCTGTACACATGAGGACTATTAAGCCACCAACCACTTTATAGGATATGTCCTATACATTAAAAAATGTCTGTAGTGATTCATTGTTGTTCATACGGATTTATGTGTGATATGTAGTCTCTCAGCTGTGACAATGACATATATTATGATAGTGGATGATAGTTTCGTAGCATGGCTGATCCTTTTGAAGAGATTTGTGAGAAATCAAGTGTTTAGAACCACTTCAGTGAGTGTAAGTAAGACATTCTCCTACAGGAGTCATTACCTTATTTCTGAAGTTTCGGAATGGAAGTACATGTATTTTCTCAATAGTTTGATCGATTCCGGGGATTTGCCAAGATCATAATATTTTCAGATTTGTACAAGAAACTGATACGATTTCGTCAAAGTAGATTTATAGTTTAATGTACATCGGTTCTGAAAAGTAACATTTACTCACGACAACAATCACTACTGCTTGTCACAGCAACGTCAATAATCCTCCAAATCGACTTGCCACCAGGGATGATTGTCCCCTTCTCTCACGGCAAAGCAACTGCCGTGTTTCCAGTCAGTGTAGGGGAGGCCGTCTGCAGCAACTCCAGGCAGAGCTCGCTGTTGCTGTTTGCCTCTAGCTAGGCTAATCAAGGCACTGCCTACAACATTCATGAGGTGAGGTGAAATGGGGTTGAAAGGTTGCTTACAAGATAATAGCACTAACTATTTAAATTCATTTTAACCATTTTATCATCAAGGTCATTTTGGTGTCATGTGTGAAAAACTGCCATACATGCATGATGAACCATGGACAATTTGCAAACCAGATATATATTACATATAAAGTACCAATATACAGCAAGTTTTTGTGCATGCGCGGAAAGTTTGGCATTTTCTCATTTCAGTCAGTCAGTACAAAACATGTCAATAATGATATGTTTGTTTCCCCGTTCAAATATTCATAGGCTTCTTCAGTGGAGTAGTTTAGTTATTAACAGACGAGCAAAAGATACATTACCAAACGAAAAGTTGGACACGTTTCTTCCAAACCCCGTATAGTGTTACAAAACTGTTGAGAATCTATCCCCTAACACAACTGAAACATTTTGCACGTCTTTATCAGGTAAGTGGAAATTGAGTTTGAAGTGAAAATGTTGCTGAACGTGCATCATGCCAATCAACAAAGGGGTATAAAAGGAACAATGTTTTGTACATTCACACTCAAACCGTGGACAGTGACAAATAACATGCCGATATTAATGCTGCAACAGAGAGAACAGACCACTGGAGTGATACGTTAAGTAGCTAGTTGTAGCCAGATGACAGTAACCAGATCCATGGCAGACTGGGCGGACGAAAGACAGGCTTGGGAATGGCAAACCCCCTGACATGGGCCATCCTGTCAGGCACTGGACAGTATCTAGAAGACCTTACAATATCAGAGCTTACAGATCTTGAACACTGACGTCTAAGACGCCGAAAAGAGAACACTGAGGAGGAACAGAAGCTGGCTAAGAGTCATGTTCCCAGGCGGGAGCAGGTTCCAGCTTTTCAGAGAAGATGGAAGAGTTCTGGTCTACTGACAACGAGGAGATCACTTGGACCTTCAAATGAGAACACGACTAGTTCGCCCTTATAACAGGGATCAAACACAAGCTCCTAATATAATTGGAATCATACAATCGACATTGCTGATTTTTTTTTTAATAAATATGGAAAGAGTTTGTCGCTGTTTCTTATTACGGATTCGGTAAGGGTGTTTTGCCACTTGTTTTAGCACAGTTTATGAAGTAGCCATGATTTCAGTGTCAGCGATTTGATTGAGGCGCTCGTACACTGTCGAGTTTTGTCCTTGACCGTGTGATTGTTCCTAGTCCAAATTCAATCCCAGCTCTTGACACTTTCGTTACCTTCCGGAGTTGAGAGCTCCACTACAAGGAACTTGTTTACCGACTTATTTACAGTTATCCACTTCCGTGAACATTATGATTTCAGATGCTTCGAAGAATGCTGACTGTACTGAGTGAGAGGAGAGAGAGATGAGACCTTCGTTCAAAATCCTGACTTGTAACTTATCTTCTTTTCCATACTTATTGGAAAACACCGAATTTGCTTCCTACTTCTAGCGCTTTTCTTATTCAAGAATAGATACAAATGCTTTGTTCAAGACAGATACTGGACATTCGCGAGTGCAACTGACTTTGGGTTGGTCAATTTAATTTAGAGGTAACAGGCATGGGGTTCTATTAGCTGTGCACTCAACTGCGTATGTGGGGTCTGGGGAGGAAGCCTTCAATGCCACACTAAGCAATATGTCCCCGATATCGCTCCTCGTATTTGGTGTTCCGCTGATGGATCAAAACATGCTGAAATTTAATATTTGAAGAGAAATCGAATATATTTAAGGATTGACCGTGTATTTTGCACAGCGAATCGCGGCGCCCCAGATGACTCGGCCACCCGTGCCCCCGCAAAACTGAAGAATACATGGCAAGTCAGATA